GGGCAAGCTATGAATGTCCCTTACTTTGAAAAGCGATTTATCACCACCATGATAGACCTGAATCCCTCGGACGTCGGCAAGGCACTAATGAAGTCCATCGAGATCGACTCCCATGGTTGATCGAGACTAGGAGCGTTTCGAGTAACCCTGCCATCAAAAAATAAATAAAAAGAGAGACGTCAATTAATGTTAAAGTTAACTAGCTAACCAGAGCTCCGACGACCAACCACCGAAAAAATATTGAAAAGAAAAATGAAATGTCAACTAATGTTGAAGTTACCTGATGTTGAGTCAGCTAATTGGAGCTCCGACGATCCACCAACTTAAAAAAAATTGAATGTCAAATGTCAACTAATGTTGAAGTTAACTAGTGTTGAGTCAACTAACCAGAGCTCCGACAACCCATTGCCGCGAAAAAAATGGAATGTCAAATGTTAACTAATGTTGAAGTTAACTGATATTGAGTCACATAATTGGAGCTTCGACGACCCACCTCCTAAAAAAATTAAATAAATAAATTGAATGTCAAATGTCAACTGATGTTGAGCTCCGACTACACGTTACCTGGAAAACAAAAAAGAAAAAGAAAAAAGAAAAAAGAAAAAAAAAATTGAAATGTCAAGTGTCAATTAATGTTGAAGTTAACTAATGTTGAGTCAGCTAATCGAAGCTCCGACGACCCGTTGCCGGCAAAAATAAATAAATAAAAAAGAAAAAAAATGGAATGTCAAATGTCAACTAAAATTGAAGTTAACTATGCTGAGTTAGCTAACCGGAGCTCCGACGACCTGTTGCCGGAAAAAGAAAAGAAAAAGTTGAAATGTCAAATATCAACTAATGTTGAAGCTAACTACGATGAGACAGTTAACCGGAACTCCGACAACACGTTGCCGGGGAAAAAATGAAAAAACAAAAATATAGAATGTCAAATGTCAACTAATGTTGAAGTTAACTTATGTTGAGTCAGCTAACCTGAGTTCCAACACCCAGACCACCGCCGTAAAGGTAAAAAATGAAGAAAATAGTTAACAAAATATTATTATAATCATAATTAGTTACAAAATTAAACGTGTGATAAATCAAAACGTCAGAATTGTTCTTCTCCAAGACAAAAATCCATGTCTCGAGAACAAGCATCACCTTCTTCTCGCCGAGAAAATAAAGAGGATTTCTCAGTATCTTGAAAACTTTAGATTCGTTGAAGCATTCCACCTATTCGATGAAAGGCCTCTCAGACATAGTCGTGGAATTTCCTTTGCACTCTTTTAATTGTCTTGACTACATACTCAGGCAATGTAGTTTTTTCTTAACGCGCAAAATAACCATCATTAAAACATAGGTAAATGGCAAATACGGCCATGACAATGACACTTAATTAAAAAAAATTGACATTTAACTTTTTTATCTTTCAAATAATTCGAGTTCATTCAAACTTATTTGCAAATAAGGAAAACATTTTTATATATACCAAAATTACTCTCAATTCCTTGAAAACCCTAATTTAACTCTAACTTCATGATATACACCCCAATTTAGCCCAATTTCATAATTTAACCAATTTTGACCATTATTCCAATTTTGACCAGCCACCGCCGGTCAGCCGCCATTGATATTTTTTTTCTGAATTTTTTTTGGCAGGTCAACCGTTAGTCTCTAGCGTTGAATTTTTTCCAATTTTTTTTCTTAAAAAGATTATTTTATTTAATATTACTGTTTTGGCTGCTAAATTATTGTCTCCAACGGTAATTTAACTATCTGAGACAGTAATAGTACTGCTCCGGCGTTGACTTCTTTTTTTTGAATTTTTTTTTTAATATTTTAATTAATATTACTGCATTGGATGCGAAATTACTGTCTCCAGCAGTAATTTAATTGGCGGAGACTAATTTAACTGTCTGAGACAGTAATATTACTGTTTGAGACAGTAATTTTAATGTATTAATTAATTTTATCTTCTTGGCCTGCAATTTTGTTGTCTTCAAACGTCGTATTACTGTCTCCGACCGCAATATTACTGTCTCATGCAATGACATACTGTTTGGGATAGTAATATTACAGTTCGGGAAAGTAATATTCATAATATTACTATCTCAAATAGTAATATTACTGTCCGAGACAGTAATTTTACTGTTTGGGACAGTAATACTAGTAATATTACTGTTTTGGTATCAATATTACTATTTTAGATAATATTTTTTTTATTAACATAGTAATTTAGAGAGAATTTAAAAAAAAAAAAAAAAGGCCAACGCCGGAGAACCGCCCGGTCCGAAATCTGGCCGGAAACAAAAATTCAGATAAAAAAATACTTTATGAAGAAAAACATTATTTTTTTCAAAAATTATTAAAATAGGGGTTAATGTGATATATTTGTTTAAATCTGGGGTCAATGTGTAATATTGAGAAAGTTAGCGTATAATAGATGGAATTGATAAAATATATATTATGGAGTGTATTTTAGACAAAAGACATGGATATGTGTTTATCTGCAAGACTATTTTTTGTCTGGACATATATGCATTTAAGTCCATTGTCATGGGCCTCTTTGTCATTCGCACTTAAAACATATACCTCTTTGGCCTCGTTTGGTTGGGGAGATTAGTCATTATTAACTAAATAATTGGATTTTATTTGATGTCTGGTATTTCCAATAACCTATCAGCCGCACTCGTAAATATTATGTTATCATGATTTATCTTGCATTTTAGATAGTTTTGTGTTAGATAATTGAATTTTCATTTAATTATTTAATCTTATCTGACATAATTTTATCTTGACAACCAAACGAGGCATTGATGGATTAGAGTGTTAACATTTACCTTTTTTTGTTATTAATTTTCTTTTGCGTTGTTTTATGTTGGGTCGTTGGCAAGGAAACTTTGAAAATTTGGATTGTATAAATGTTAAATATCCACATTTTGCTGTGACAAGGGATATCCAGGAATTGATGTCAAATTTTGGCAAAATTATCAACATTTTCTCGAAAAAAATCAGCTCCAACCGTCGTTTTATAATTTAGCTCATTTGCTCTATTATGGGTTTCCCTTCTTGAATTTGCCAAGTGAGGACATCTCCAATGATGAGAGGTAAAAATTGGAATGTTAAATCTATTTAAGCTAGTGTATATTGTTTTAACCACCCATTTATTCCAATTAGTATAATTTACCATTCTATTATGTTTTATTGTATGTATTATGTGTTGAGTATTAATCATTTTAATTTTATACTTTTTGCCACTATCAACCTATTCTTTTCATATTTTTTTCCTTTTACAATTTTTTGTGAATAGTTGAATGATGTACATAATATTCTTCTCTCCTCTTCTACCATATGAGCTAAATTGTAGCTTGCCCTTTGGAGATGAGTTTTTTCTATTTAGAGCATGTACAATGTAATAGCTAAAAAACTCTCTCTAAAGAGTGGGGTCCACATGCCACATACTCCTTTTCCTTCACTTTATCAACTCTCTAAAAATGGGTCCCACATTTATCAATCTCCAAATTAAAATTGCTCCAATGGGTATATTTTGTTGCTCTCCAAAATAACTCTCCAAATATTAAACTATAATAAAATATTCACTATTAATATAAAAAAATACAAATTAAATTTTCAAGATTTTATATTTAATTAATAATATTAATATAATTACTTGACTTTAAAATTAGACTAATTACGTAAACAAAATTATCATTTAATCATGTTGTGATTTACGTTAGTTTATTTTTTTTATTTTTTATTTTTTTTAATATATAAAAACTAATTAATAATATAAAAATTTAACAACTAACATAAAATTGACATAAATATTAATAACACAAAGGATTACATAAGATTTGAATAACATGGTTGGAATATCTCTCCAACTAATAGAAAACATCAATAAAAATTACGAGAAAGCTAGTAAACTAATTATTAGGCCCCGTAAACGCTGACTTATTTTTTCGTGCACGACTTATGATTTCTCTTTGTTGTTCCATGATCCAAGCTTGTTGTTCAAATACTTAATTATTATAATAAATAATTAAGAATATGAAATTAACAAATAACATAAAATTGAATTTTATTTATTCTATTAATTTTTTTTCATTTGTTCGCTTCGATAAGAAAAAAAATTAAATTTAAATTTAATTAGTATTTAAAATTTATAATATTTCAGTTATCATTTAAATATATAAATAAATTAAAGTTCAAAAAAATAAAATAAAAGAATTGGTAAATGATATAAAAAAATATTGGTAAAAATGGACCAAATGAAAGAGGTTGCATACTTTCTTTACAGAATAAACAAGAATAAAATATGTATGGGTCCCACATTTTATTGGTAGAGAGCTCAATAACTGTGGCTAGCCATTTAAAGGCTGGCCAAATGTAGCTAGGCCTATGGAGGGCTATTGAGTGCCACTGCACCATTATTACTCTCCAAAATTTGGAGAGGCTAAAAAAACTGACACTAACGTACTTTTAAGGAGTCCAATGTACATGCTCTTAGCTCATATGCTAAAATTTGGCAAAACAAGTACAAAAAAGCCTGCAAGACTATGTCCACATCAGCAAAGCACGCACTCCACGCAAAACATTTCTTATTATTTAGCTAAATATGTGAGATAATAAAGTATAATAATTGTTTATTATATTTAAATAATGTTTTTGTTAAAATATGAACAACTACTGCGGGAGTGAGTTAAAAAAGTGATGTGATAGAACACTATTCATTATGTATAATTTGGAAAGTAGCAAATTTCGAATAGCTACTGGAGTTGGTCTTAGTGATTGATTTTTTAGTTGTTTGCTTTTCTTTTTTAGTTGTTTCTTGCTTGCCGTTGGAATTGAGAAATTTTAACAATTACTTTACTGTTAGGTTATGAACATGACAGTTATGTTATCACAAATAGGCTGATGAAACTTCTCCACATATTGGACCTCTGCAATAACAACTACAATGGGAGCATCCCTAGTATATGTGTGTGTGTGTGTGTGTGTGTGTGTAAATGGAAAGAAAATCCATCGAAATCCATCGATGTATCTCATACGGTATGCTGTAAAGTATAAACGTCCAAAGTTCATCGGGACTTCAACACTAATAGCACTCGTCCGAAATTAAGTATCAAAGATAAAAAAAAAATCAATTATTTAACTACAAGACATGATCAATGGCAATAAAATCTCTGACATAATCATTCCATATTTCAGTGGCAATAGCATCTCTCGTTCGAGAAGCATGTTCCAACTCTTCATCTCCAACAGCCACGCACTCCATCCGCGTCTCAAAAGGTACAATTAATGGCTGTTCATCGGTCTCCAAAGCTGCCATCAACGGATCTTCCATTTGCATAACACCTTCCTGCTCGTACATTTTGAAGATCCAATCAGCGGGATTCTCATCACGGATGTAATTGTGGAGTGCACAAGCCGCAACTACAAGCTTCACCTGCGTTGCTAATGGATAAGAAGGAGCGGACATCAAAATAGGAAAACGTTCCTTTAGTGCAGAAAAAGTTCGATTCGCGACACTGTGAAGAATAGAATGCCGCTCGTTGAATAGCTCTCTAGCATCTTGCGGGTGGACCCCACCTCCAAATTCAAGGTGACTGTACGACACTCCGGGGTATGGAGCAATTAGCCCCGGGATGTTTGCATATTTGGAATCCACGAGATAGTATTTACCTGAAACATCAAATAAAATAATTACAATTAAACCTCTATAAAGTAATACAGTCGGGACCAGGGAAATTCTATTAATTTAGCGAATTATTAAATTATCGAGTTAATAATTTAACACGTTTTCACCGAGTCCAAAGAGTAATTTATCGAGTATTATTTTATCGAGTATTCTATTATTTAATCGAGGTTATTAATTTATCGAGTATTATTTTATCGAGGTTCTACTGTAGATAGTCCGATACCAAAGAGTGACTCTAAATGTACGTACCATGAGGTACTTCAAGTTTGTTACACCTAGTGAGAGCTGAATTCAAAACGAGCATATGCGGTGCAGAGCCTTCCCAACCAGCAAGGACATAATTAAATTTCATGTCGAACGAGCACGCCGCCAAAACACTTTGCGACAGGAACCCGTTTTTATCCCGAAAAGGCCCTTGTTCGTCCACACCTACTGTCACCGGGAAATGTATGCCGTCCACTGCTCCAACACAATTCTTGATCGGAAAAAAAATCATAAAATAAGGAAATTGACGATTATTGAAATTTAAAATTTAATTAATAGTCGTTCACTAATTACCATAAAATAAGGATAAACTCGGGGATCTTCACGAATCTGTGGTGGAACATCGGATTTCGGAGGCTGGAAGTAATCCAACGAAACGGTCATAATCGCGCTAAGAACATTATTGAAATGACGACTTATGGTTTCGCCCGAGTATTTGAATAGCTCCTGCACTGCTCGGGTTCGTAAATTATGTCCGGCTATAAACAGAAATATTGCTAATTGCTCCTCGATTTTTATTCGATTAGTGTGATGCAGTAAGCCTCTGGTACGCAGCATATCACACAATCTGTGGAAAACGTGTTTATCCATCCGGAAATTCTCCATGTAAGCCTCGTTCGGCCCGTTCAATACATCGTCTACAAATTTTGTACGTTTGGGCTCGTTTGGCGTAGAAGCTTCGGCATTAACATCTCTTTCGTCGTCTGAACTATCCATGATGAATAAAACTCACTGCATTCCAATTATATTCTGTTTCGAGAAATTAAACAATCGAACACAATTTAGCTACAGCAAAATTTAGGTAACGAGTTTTGTTTCAAATTTTTTTTTGAGATTTCACAAACATCCCAAATACTATCTCCCCAACCACATTTCCCCCAAATGGCTGAAAATCTAACCCTAAGTTGAAGAAAACGAATTAGAAATTAAAGGCACAGCAGCGCTTCAGTAAAAAAAAATTGTTGAAGCTAAAGTTCTATAAATTGAATCCGAATTTCTGATTTTAATCGAACACAAACAAGTATTGAGGAATGGTAAAAAAAATAGTTACATACATGCTTTAAATATTTGATCGTTTTTGGTGTATTGTTATCACCGGAATTGGGTCGTCGGGGACTAGGCATGGCGGAGACGCGGTGGAGATGAGGCGGAGGAAATTTGGGGAGACGGAGAAAACAGAGGGTTCTCTCTCTCTCTTTTTCTTTTTTTGTTTTCCTCTGCAGCGTGAAGAAACCCTACCACATAGCCCACTGCGCACAACTTTATTTGTTATTTAATATTTTTTTTTCATTTCTTCTCTTTTGAAAAAAGTTTTCATAAATTAAAGGGTAAACAGTATTTAATCCACTGTTTGGTACTTTACTTCCCTCTCATATCAATTTGGGCACTTGACAACTCTGGGGTTGTTAAATTGTAGCAGTCGTCTAATAAACTAACGGAAAACACTAAATGTCTGAAATGCCCTTTTTATATACTATTTGCTGGTCCAAACCATGACTAAAACCCTTATATTTTCTGTTAGGCGGCGGTTATATGCAAGCCCATTTTTTTATTACTTCAAAACCACATAAATGAGTTTATTAGTTCAAGCCCGTAAATTAATCTAATTTTATTACATCAAGACCAAAGATGACAAATATACCCTTATCCACAAATAATATTCAAATACAAATAAATTTTATTTTTAATTTGTTCAAGACCAAAAATCACAAAAACAAAAAAAAAATATCACGACTGCCAACCAGCGAGACTTTCACCGCACCGGCGATGACCAGCGACCCACCCACCGCACCATTACCACCACCAACAAGTAAGTCCATTTTACTAAACTTTTATTTGTAAATTCAAAAACATTAATCGAACATCGATGTCCTTTTTACAAATTTTTTATCTGTAAATTCGAAAACATTATTCGAACATCGATTCCTGATAAATATGTATGAATGAACATTAATCTATGCTTGTTTCTTGTTGGGTTGCAATGATTTGATCGATTTTGGAAAAAAAAATTGATATTGAAATTGGTTTTTTTATTTTTTTCGTTGGTTTCCGAAATCGATTTATGCAGACCGATTTTGTACACGAAAATCGGCGTCATAATACCGATTTTTGTTAACCAAATCGGCGACACAACGTCGACTTTACAAGTCAAAATCGGCGTTCTAATGTCGATTATTGAGTACAAAATTGGTTTTCGAATACCGATATTTTTTGATTTTTTTTTTGTCAATAATACATTATATATTTGGTTAATTGATATTTTTTAAATATTTGAACGAAAATGTTTATCACCATTCGGTGGCGTCTACCACGCCTTTAACCCAATCGAGTAGAACTTTCCGTATCTCAAATATTTATTCGTTAGATAATTCATTTGAATAATCTTCCATCAATACCCTAGGTTGATGCACGAAAGTATGAGAAAACGGTCTTAAAAGAAACACAGATAATAAAATCGGTATTTAAAAACCGATTTTTGTAGTACAAGTCGGCATGACAATACCGATAATACAAAAACAAATCGGTGTTGTCATGCCGATTTTTACTACAAAAATCGGTTTTTAAGTACCGTTTTTATTAAAATAATCGGAATGTGGTTACCGACTTTAGTAACAAAAATCGGTATTTGCAGACCGATTTTTTGTATCGTCGAATTTTTTTCCCAAAAAAAAAACGACCCAAAAGCAAAAATAAAGGGTTAAAACATATTTCATTGTGTTCTCCACCCTCGTAAACCGCCATATCATTGTTTTCTGGTTCCATCGTGAATGTTTGGTATGTATTTGATAATTTTTGTGTGTAGGATTTCTTTGTGGGTTTGTGAAGAAGGAGAAGAATGAGAGTTTTAAGTCGTGAAATAAGGAAGAGGGGTTTCTGGATTTATGTATTTTATTTGGTCTTGCACAAAGTAAATGAGTTTATTTTTATTTTTTAATATTTTGTGTTTTTTATTTGATTTTAAATTTCATTAAGGGTAAATTAATATTTTTATGTTAAAGGTCTTGAACTAATAAAAAAATGGGTTTGCATATAACCGCCGCCTTTCTGTTAATAAATAAATATAAGGGCGTATAATTCAAAAGGATTTAATTATAAATAACACAAATTTATAGGAGTAAACTACAATTTTCATAACTTTTTAATTCCCTAATATCTTCATTCCCTCACTATCAAATCGGTCCAAATTTTTACAGCACCTTCAAGAAATGAAGAATAGGAAAAAATATAAAAAATCCTCCAAAATATTCATAAACAATTCCCGAAAAATTCAGAAAACCCGATCAAAAAGAAAGAAAGAAGCTCATATTTTCACCTCAAAACCCATTGCTCGCAATTTTTTCCTTCTCCAGCTACTGCAACTTTCGGTTTTTCTTCGTGGTGGTTCATCCTCCTTGTCGTTTCTGCCAATTTTTTATGTCTTTGTGAAGTAGTTGAAGAGTATTTTAATAGTGAAAATTGAAACTGAGGGTTTCAAAATAGAAGTATTGGTGGTGGTCGGCGGTGTTTTGATGGTGGGCTATTGGTGGTGTTGGCGGTGGTTTGATGGTGGTGGTCGGCGGCGGGTGGATATTTCAATATCCAAAACCCTCATCTTCTACATCCACATTTTCTTCGGCCCTGTTTTTTTTTTTTCGATTTGTCTTTTTTATTATTTTTTTTGGCTTTTAGATTTGTGTGGATAAATCCTTCAGCCCTCAGCATGTCCTTGTTTTAATTTTCTTCTGTAAATTTTAGTTTATGTTCTATAATTTATATACATGTATACTTCTTATTTAAAAATAAAAGGCTAAATGAACATATGTTTATTGAAGAAAAATATAAATTATTATAAAGTCAGATATGTAATTTTGAAAAATAATTAATTTAGAATTAAAAAATATGTCATATAAATTTAAAACATAATTTTAATAAGAGGAAAATGAAGGTTGGTGTAACAATTTTTATTAAAGGCAAGACAAAAGGATAACATGGGTATTTTAAGAAAATAACCTTGGAAAATCTTCAACCACTTCAATTTTGGGCGAGTGAGATGCACTCACGGTTAACTTTAACGGATTTTTAGACGGCCGCTATAATTTGATAACTCCAGGAGGGTTAAGTGCCCAAATCGATATTAGAGGGGGGTAAAATGCCACACGGTGAAACCACAAGGGGGTTAAATGTTATTTACCCTAAATTAAACTTGTGGATAGTTTGAAAGGGTGTACGGTGGTGATAAAAACACGATGAGTTTTAGCAAATGTAGGATATTTTATTTTAAAATTTAAATAATATATGGCAAATGTCAAGTAGGCTCCATGACAAGAATACTTAATTATAAAAAGTGACATCTTACTTTTTGGTCTTGCAAATAAATCAACCTTATGCAAACTTATTTGCAAATAAGGAAAACCCTTTTATACATACCAAAATTACCCCAACTCCTTGAAACTTTAATTGAATTCCAATTCCATGATTTACGCCCCAATTTAACCCAATTTCAGAAATTAACCAATTTTGACCGTCACCGTCAGTCATCGGCGTCAACTTTTTTTTATTTTTTTTCTTCTTCTAATTTTTTTTCCGGCAGGTCAACCACCAGTCTCTGATGTTGATTTTTTTTTTTTTTTGAAAACTTGTTTTTCTTAAAAAAAAATATTTTAATTAATATTATTGTCGGAGACAGTAATATTACTCTGATATTACTGTCTCAGATAGTAACGTTATTTTCTAATATCACTGTTTCAGACAATAATATTACTGTCTAAGACAGTAATTTTCGTCTTGGCCTGCAATTTTGTTGTCTTCGAACGTAATATTACTGTCTCATGCAATAATATTACTGTTTGTGACATTAATATTAGTAATATTGTTGTTCGGAGCTTGAGATAGTAATATTAGTAATACTAGCAATTTCACCAGTGTGATGCACGGGGTTTGAAGAAAAAAATAATGAAAAACAAATTTCAATTCATTCAACATGTTGTTGGATAAAGAATTCTTAATTGACCGTCACGAAGTGACTACAATGGCAGACAAACGACCATGAGATGGTGGGTGCTTTAAGAAAATAACTGCTACAATGACAACTCCTCAGAAATTACAAAGAAGACGATGCATAAGCATGTTATCGGAACTCCAGAATTTTTTATGAAGTAATCTTATATACAGACAACGGTACTACTCGCAAAAAAAATGACGCGATCGTACACAACGTTTTGACTTGATGCCCTAATTAAACCACCGACTTGCGCGCCTGTAATACAAAATCTCACTATATTAGCTAGCACATACTCAGCACCAACTTTCACCACCTCCACATTATCATCATCATCATTTAGTGTTCAAAAATAGCATTAAAACATCAAGCTACTAAGCCTACAAAATGTGAATCATTTATAGCTAAAATACAATCAGACCACCACTCTGCACCAAAAAAAGAACCGAAACCGTGAATCTAATGTTAACGTGGTTGAAGAGTGAGTTTTTAGGTTTTTTTCCCAATCATGCAAGTACCTTTTTCATTAAATATAGAGAACAATGTATTGATATATTAAGCTAATCAACTTCAACAAATCCACATCCCAAAATATTTTTCAGAAAATAAAACTGTCAACGACAAAAAGTTCAATCAACTAATAACCAACAAAAACTAACTATTCCAGAAAACTGAACCCAAACAACTGCATACACACCGAAGACCATGTATTCATTCATCAAATAAGTAATTCTAGCTTCATCAAATAAGTAATTCTAGATTTGTTCATATGCAGAGTCAATGGAGTCACTAACCTATAGAAAGCTCAAAGCCTCAAACAAACTAATTGCTCTTTGGAATGTTAAAAATATAAAAAATAAGATTAAGGTTTTGGATCGGGAAAACATTCATGAGCATATGAGATAGGTTAATTTAAACGGGGAGAAAAAAATTCAAATACAAAGAAAGAGAACAAATGTAAAAATAACATAACTTGAATTTCAACATTTCGGGGGAGGTAGAGGAAATCAAAAAACAAAAGGACTCTAAAAGAAGAATATCTATTAAAACGGGTGGTGCAGGCACCGTGAGAAATAGGCCAAAAAAACGTACTCCTATCGAATTGAAAGTATTCAAGCTCATAGTTCAAGTTCAAACTAATTCATGCCCAACATTTATTTGGCTACACCTTTTTTTTTTCCCTCTTCTAGAAGTTAATCATGTTCAGATTTTTTTTTATGAACAAACAACAACAGCGGTAACTCTCACACAAATTCAGTGTTAA